CCATCCCATTGAAACTATGACTATATTGGTCCATGCCCAAAGCCCAATTATTACAACCCCACATTATACCTAATTAATATACTTTAATATTAAACTTTTAATTTATTCGATATTTTTTAAAATTTTTTATTTTGTATCTAACCCGTCTTTAAAAAATTTAAAATTTTTAAACGAAATCAATAAATGATCTATTAGATATAAATTTAAATTTTACGCCCTTGAACCCATAATAAAAAATAATAAGTTTAATACTAGCGATTTTATTTAAATAAAATTAAAAATATTTTTTTAAATAAACCACTAACAATTTTGAACAAATTTTATTAATTACTCCGAAATATATTTTATGTTGTTTTTATATTAAGTGCGTAATTAAATATAGAACACACAAGATTTGACCCACGTTTTTATTTTATCTCTATAAGAATATTAAATTAAATAATTGGCGTTTTTATTTTATTTTATTTTATTTATTAAGAAGCTTCCTAATTATGCCATCCATTTACCTTTTTATCCACTCATTTCTATTTTCTTTCCTAATCACTTTTGGCTCAACTTTTATATCCAAACTCAAAAGAATATTCATGCGCTTTTCGGTCACTTTTTCGTCACTTTTTTATTTTTCGAAAATGGAATTTTCATATTTCACGTTTAAATTTTTGTACTTTTTTCTTTTTACTTTTATTTTGACTTAAATTTTGTGGAATCCGAGCTTGACTAAATGTTAAAAGTTCGTGCTAAAAGAGAAAGGGTTATTCTTGTGAGCTTGTTATGATACGGTTCGGTTCCCTTTCAAAAGGACATCAGATAGGTTTCCAAACAAATATGGCTAACTCGACTGAAATTCTATTCTAACCTCTACCTTACAAGCTCGAAATTTAAGAGGTACCTAAAGAAACGGGAAACTCACCACTCATTGGTGAAAGAGGAGAAAAGATAATTGAATGCCCGAGGGCTGAAATGCAAAATAGCTCTCTTCGAGTAGCTTATCATGAATTTTCGATAATAGTTCACGAATCTTAAAAGGGATCTTAGCTAATCTTTGAAAAATAAAAATGGGTTGTAACGACCCAGATCTACCGTTAGCAGATATTATCCTCTTCGAGCTTCCTCGTCTCCTAAAGGGTTTAAAACGCGTCGGGAAAGGTTTTCACACGCTTATAAAAGATGTTTTGTTTTCCTCCCAACCAACGTGGGACATTACCAGATAGATTTTATAATCTTAAATTTTATTATATTTTAATCTTTAAAATTTTAAAATATTCAAACTTTTTTAAATGGATAGTTTTTTTATTTTATTATTTATAAATGAACCATAGATTTGAGACAATATAGACCTATTGGATGTTAGATAAAAATAATAATACAATAAAGATTTTTAAAAATTTTAAGATTAAAATAAAATAAACGTTGACTAAAAAAAAAAAAAAAAAAAAAAAAAAAAAAAAA